TCAATCTACCCGTGCAACCCCTTTTTTTTTTTTTAACCCTATCTACTACCCTACCACCCAATCAATAGTGGATAGGATCACTCCGCCCTCGATTCGAAAGGGGGACAGAGGCTCCATCATAAGAGCCAATGCCATCCGTCAGAAGTTTGAAAAATGTTACCCGCGCCTGCTGACACTGAAGCGAACCGACGAGAAGACACGGTCCTGGGACTTTATTGGGTGTCGACTGAATATCGACCAGCAGTACCCTTTTTCTTGCGCAGTGTTCAGACAACCAAGAATCAGCGGACTATTTGGGGACCTGGCCCTGTGGTTTTGAGAACTGGCCAGGATTCATTGTCCTGGTCTGATGTGAAACGAAAGAAAGCCACAATTACCAGGTGGCTTTGTCGTATCGATCGAAACACAATGTATCGTGCGGTAATTCCGAAACAGGTTCTCACGCTGCGACGGGAATACCTCGTGAAAGGTTTTCGGACGATTTTTTTGGAAACACCATGAGGAACTTCGCGCCAAACCGCGGCAAGGTCTGGCAGTTTGTGGCGGAAATATTAGGCATGTAGAAGTATCGAAGATTGTAGGTATTAGTATATATAGCTTAGCCGTGTTTTTCTCAGTCCCTCTTAGCTTACATGGCTCCGGAGTTTATGCTCCGGTACGGGTTGGAGGAAGATCGGTATAGTCAAGGGCAGAGGAAGGGGGATGAGGATAGCAGTTCACGAGTCCGCTCTTGAGTCCGTTTTTGCAGTACTCTTGGGCGTGGCCTCCTGTTTCTGATTTTCTCTTAATGCTATGTTCATTGTTGCTTTGGACTCCGGTTCTCGACACTTGATTTGTGTTGCTGTCGTTTTCGTCTCGACTCGTTCGTTTCGTTGCGTATGCTTCCATTCTTCTTGTTGTGAACTCGAGAAAACCTTGTCTGTATAGACTATGCGTTTTACTTACCTCTTGTCAAGCATTTGGTAACCAACGGGGGATCGATACCCCATTTGATGGTCATTCATCTGTGGACGTGAAGCATCGTTCCAAGTATCGTTTTCCAGTGAGTATCTCTCGACGCAACGTTCGAATATCTTGTGAAGCTGCTTGAAGTCGTATGAAGTCGCGGATCTGGGGACGAAGCGATACCGTACGAAGACGGTCCTGCACTGCCCGATGAAGTAGTGGAGGTCGCAACCCTCTGGAAGAGGAGCTGCAATGTCTTCATCCAGTCAAGCAGGTGGCAGTAGGGATGGCGATGGACCTCGGCGAAATCCACAAGTTTGCTATAGCTGCAACCTACCAGGTCATTACGCACGTGATTGTGGAGCTTATTGGAAAGAGAAGTACGGCAGCTACAACAGTCAAACCAGCTCGTGGACGATCGACATCACCAGTCAGAAAGAGATGGGAACCCTCCCGGAGGTCACCATCAGCGGACTTATGATATCATGGGCGAAGAAACGAAGACCGCGACAGTGTGAAGGAGTTGGTGAGTCTCCTCATGGCGGAACGTGAAGAGAAAGAGATGGCAAAGAAGGAGGAGGAAGAGAAAGTGAAGAAGGAACAGGAGAGGAAGGAAAAAGAGGAGAGACGATTGAAGAAGGAAGAAAAGAAACGAAGAGAGCAGCAGGAGAATGCCGAACGAATGGCGAAAATAGTAGATCTGCAATTTTCCAGAAGGTGGGGAGGAGCAATGGAAAGGTTAGGATCGGACAGCTCTCCGGAAACCTCAAGACGACTGAGGCGATACCGGAAAGCTTCGAGAAGAGGACGTCGCCACCGAAGGACTGCGTATGCCTCTGCGGAATCGGACGATCTGTCTGAGATAAGCGAACGAACACGAAAGCTGTCCATTTCCGAGAAGAGGAAGCGTTCATCTACAGTCACGGAAGATTTGTCCTCAACTAGTCCCGCAACAACTCCGCTCAAGGCTAACCGATCTCGGGACCCGCATCCAAAGTCTCCAGTGAAATCGGCGTTCCGAGCCAAATCGTCCTCCGCGAAGAAAGTAGAGACTATGCTGCAGCCAACTACCTTGAAGAAGCTTCGGGAGAAAAACGACCCAACTGTCAAGGGAGCTCGGTGCAGTATTCCGACACTTGTGAAAGAAAACCGATGAAATTGGGACGAGGAGGAGGAGGAGGAGGAGGAGGAGAAAGGAGGAAGAGGAGGAGGTGGAGGAGGAGGAGAGAAGAAGACGAGAGGAGGAGGAGGAGAGAAGAAGACAAAAGGAGGAGGAGGAGGAGGAGGAGGCGGAGGAGGAGGACAGGAAGACGAGAGGAGGAGGAGGAGGAGGAGGAGGTGGTAGTGTGTGGGGATGACGGGAAAAAGAAGAAGAAAAAAAAAGAGGACGATGGAGGACGAGGAGGAGGAGAGAAGGAGAACACGAAAGTGGAGGAGGAGGAGAGAAGAAGAAGACGAGAGGAGGAGGAGGAGGAGGAGGAGGAGGAGGAGGTGGTAGTGTGTGGGGATGACGGGAAAAAGAAAAAGAAAAAAAAAGAGGACGATGGAGGACGAGGAGGAGGAGAGAAGGAGAACACGAAAGTGGAGAAGGAGGAGAGAAGAAGAAGACGAGAGGAGGAGGAGGAGGAGGAGGAGAAAGGAGGAGGAGAGAAGAAAAAGAAGACCAGAGGAGGAGAAGGAGAGAAGAAAAAGAAGACGAGAGGAGGAGGAGGTGGAGAGAAGAAAAGAAGACGAGACGAGGAGGAGAAGGAGAGAAGATAAAGAAGACGAGAGGAGGAGGACCTGCCGGTTTTGTATGGCGATAACGGAAAAAAA